TGATTCAATAGTGTTGGCATGCATAGATATTCAGTGATTGCTTGTCATTTATCTGATCCGTTTTAATTTCAGAGTGTAATTTGTTTGTTATGTTTTAGATATCAAATTACTTATATATGTGACATGTTCAATATATTTTCTGAATGATAAAATGAGTCAAAATTTGTAAATTAGAGCAATAATCTCATCCATTATTCTCACCAATGTTGCATATACTTTGATCCTATCTTTTTTTTGTGTAAGTGGAACGGTTCGAATTTGAAATTTTTCACTTACACATCCTTCTCCTAAACCACTCAATTCATTCCTCTCCCGACTTTGATTCTACCTTATTACCTATCATAGCACATGTGTATAAAAAAACAACTAACATTGATCATACCATCTTGTTCTTCTGCAAGTGTTACAAAGAAAGCCCATTGTACTAATCCTCATTTATGAACTATAACCTCTTTCAAAATTTTCAACCTCAAAAGTAACTAAATAGAAATAAAAACACATTGGGAACCCCAAAGAACTACATTTTTTTTTTTTGTTATGTTCAAAAGAAATTGCTCCTGTAAAATGATAATATTTCATAAAGTGCTGTGTTGGTCCATAAAATTTTTGAAGTTTGTCACTTTAATCCTTTAATTTTTGAATCATGAAATTGCAATTGGTTTAATCGGACATTGATGAGGCTTGAAATAAATAACACATGCTAAAGATATTGTAGACTTTCAAAAGTCAAAAAAAAAAAAAAAAAAGCAAAGGCCCCATTGAGGACCGAAATGAACTTTTAGAAAAAGTTAAGAATCACTAGAGCAATTTTCCCAAAATATTTATACCTAAATCTTGGTTGAGTTTTTCCTTCTTTTATTATTACAGGGAGTTATTTGATTTGACCGACTGCTGGATGATGGCGAAACAGCGAGTGGGAGGTGGAAGACGGGATTACAATGACTCACCGTCGCTGTTGACTCGGGCCGTGAACTCAGTCTTCGCTTTCGTCCGGCTAGCTGAGTTCGAAATCCTCTTCGTCCTATTCTTCATCATCGCTTATCTCATCTTCAAAGATCTTGTAAGCCCTCCTCTTTTTCGATTCTATTTTTGTTTCTTTTTAGGTAGCCAATATCGGGTTTTCAATATCATAACGTTATACTTTGATTCGATTCGATGCCTGAGATGGGTTTTGCATTAAACACTCGGAATTCGAGATTTTACGAAGAAATGTAAATGAAAGATGAGTTTTTTAAGCTTTTTTTTTTATTATTATTATTAGGTTAAGGGCGGTGAGAGTTAAATTTGCACTGATGGTCGAATAAGGAATGCTTCTTGGTAGTGCTCCATTATGAACAGCCTGGTAATGGTTGTTCCCTAGTTTAGAATGCTTATGATGTTGTTTAGGAAGGTGTGATTTCTGTGGATAATAGGATAGATTTTAGCTTTGTTAATGTTGTACCTTGGCCAATTTTAGAAGAAGATGATGAATTGTACACACACCTTCCCCCAACAAAAGAATGACCCTTCTAAAGGGAAGATAACAAAACAGAGAGAGAGAGAGAGAGAGAGAGAGAGAGAGAGGAAAAAGAATGAAGAATTCCATCATGTTAGATGTGACTTAGTTTTTGCTCTTTTCGGATAAAGTAGTTTTTGGACTTTTTTTTTTTTTGGTCGGGATGATGATTAAGCCGTTTATTGGGATTTTTGGAACAAATGAGCAAACATAGTGCACCTTTACCTCCAATCTAAGGCCCGGGAAGTGTAGTTTTCGCTATATTGTCCTTCTCAATTCTTTTTAGTGGACCTGTGATCTTGTAACTAAGCATGAAGCAAATAACATTACTGCTCCATTGACAATTACACAATTTGATTCACTTATATATTTCATGAGAGGGGGTTCCTTTCTTTTTGGATGGTCAGCTCAAAAGAATTTCGAATGCTGTTTATGGTAATTGGACTTTTAAGGTGTTGCTTGTGTAGATATTTGTGCGGGTTTAAATCTGGTAATGTTTTTGAAGCAAGTGTTCGGCTGATGGGTTTTCTAATCAGGTAGCGGAAATGAGATGGATTACACATGTCGAAATTTCATAGCTGAACTTCCTTTAAACTTGGATAACAAGATCTTAATGCAGCCGGTATCTAATATTGATGGTTGTTATTCTTCCCTCACATAATATGGTTGTCAACAAACTAAAGATTTTGATGCCCGTAAGTGATATGGATCCATCTTGGCCTTTGTTCAGTATGTTTATAAAATTTTGCTCCTTAACATAGTGATAGAGTGCCTAAAGTATGGATATACCAAAACAACCTAATTTCGTTAGGCATTCTGAGAAGTATAGGTGATTGAGACTATTTCATTGCGCTCTATTAGTAAATACCCTTAGGTTACTGCAACCTTCAGCCTGATTAAGTGGTAAGTGTTTTATGGAATCAATTGTTGCTTCTGGAAAGCACCTTATTTATCTTTCTTTTTTTTTTTATGTGGTTGAAATTGTGAGATGTCTTGTTCGATTTTACATTCTCTTTCTTATGCTGCCACTCTGCATTATCTCCAATGAAAGAGGTCAACCTTTAACCCTCACCTGTATAGTTGTATGTGAAAGCATAGTTAATCCTCATTTTGCTTTACATAATTGTGCATACTGCTTTTGCACCCTGAGTACATCATGGACATGAAAACCCAATTGATCCTTGATTGCTGCTTAACTGTACAGTTGTAAACATGGTTGATACTTTCTTTTACAGACCTCAAGACCCGAATACAATCAAATCCTTGTGAAGAAGCCTGGTGGACCTGATTGGTGGCCTTACTAGTACGCAACAAGCAGTGGAGTTTTCTCTGTCCTTGCTAGGCAGAATGTGTTTATAGGGTGCCCACTGCCTGTGTGCGTCCAGTTCTGATGATAAGGACCTTCTTTGTATTTTATGCCTAATATACATGTGAAGAGTAGGGGAAGGACTGTTAGCTGACAAAGCTTGAGTTCTGAGAGAGGAAGTTCTTTTGATTGCAGAATCTGCATTGAAAGTTGTAGAGTCACCTGTTTCACACTGGATGTGTCTTTTTGTGTTCCTAATTTGCTCAATCGTTATTTGAGGCTGTCATACGTTTACAATAACTCTTGGCAATCTCCTCTAATATCCGATTTTGAGAAAGCATGAAATGATAATTGAAGAGCTTTCAAGAGTGTAATTTGGTCACTTTTAGATTTATTTTTATCAGAAAAGACTAAACCAAAATCTTTTTAATACTTCTTTTGATCAGCTTCCGTTCTTTCTAGGAGTGGAGAAATGCTATTGCAGAGGTCGGTCTCGTATTTGCTCTTCAAGGCCAAAAAAGTAATAGTAATATATAGTAGTAAAGAATAAGATACTGCTGTTGCTCCAGCAAGAAAAATCTGATATTAATATAAATCTGCCAAAACAAAAGCTTGTTATTTCTTTTTCTTTTTTTTTAATTCACTGTTCTTGAATAAGTTTGCAAAAAGTTTTAATTTTTTTGATATATGATGTATATAAGATAAATTTGTGTTTGAGAAATGTATTGGTAAAATATTCCTATAAAATCCGAAAAAAAAAATTTTCCACGAACCCATCAACTCTAATGAGGCCGTGCCTCTACCATGTGTAAGCAAAAACAACTTTTTGAAATACATCTCTGTTTGGATTAGCTGTTTTTGAAGATGTTTTTGAAAAATTCTCTGTTTAGATTAGCTGTTTTTAGAGATGTTTTTGAAAAATTTTACTATAACAGAATTTTTATAGTATATTTTGAAATATTTTTTAAACATTAAAAAAAATTCAGACTACTTTTTAGAATACTTTTTTAAAATTTTAATAATATTTAAAAAATTAATTTTTGAATAACTCTTGAATCCAAACAAAAAATCCAAGAATGAGTGTTTGGATAACAAATTATTTACATTTTTATTTGCTTGCATCACAAATACATTTTCAACCACATTTTTATCTCACAGATGCTACATTAAAAAAGTGTCATAGTATTTTTTTTTCTTTTCAAAAACTAATCCCAAATAATCTCCTATCCAAATGCAGCAATACATTTTTTTTTCCTCTCAAAGAAGTAGGAGCAGAACCTTTGAGCAGAACTTGTTTCTGAGCTTTTTACATAATTCATAAGAGTAAAAATCTGGAACAATTCATATACTCTTATCTCCAGAAATTTCATGAACTTTGCCGTCACGGGGTCACAGCTAACCCAAGCCCCTAACATGTCAAAATTATAGAAAGATGCACTTGCCACCACCCTCTTGATCCATAACATGTCAAATTCACCAGACAGAATTGAAGGAGTTTGCCCAAATGTTCCAAACAGCAAATAGAATAGTCTTGACTGGTTACAGCTACAGGTAAAAAAGCTAAGCACCCTGTCGATTAGCCAAAGTCAACTGAAGTTGTGCTCATAAGAGGCAGAGAGAACAAACTTCCCAGTTATAGTCTTCCATGAATGGACCCTATAGCAATGACGGAATGGGGACAACCAAATGTAGAAGAAGTTTGTTGAATATCCTCAATCAATTAATAATGGAAAAACTGGTCACTTGCGTTGGATTATCCAAACTAGAAATTCAAGTAAATCCACCCAAGTGAACAGTAATCCGGATACAGGAGTGACTACATTGTCAGCCTCTAATGCTTTTTCAGCTTTAAGGGCTGTCCAAAACTTGATTTCATTTAGCTAGAAAAATGAAGGTCTGGCGCAAAAGTTCATGCAGCATTCAAGACATGACATGACTTCAGCAAGAATACATTGCCAATGGTAGAAGGTAGAGGAAAATGAGAGACAAAATCCGTTGATATCCGTAGCTTCAAGAAAAGCAATGATTAACCTCAAGAAACTGGAATGATGATTGTCCAACAACATAAGACGTTATAATGAATTAATGATAGAAACCGTTGTACTACAAAAAGATCCAGCTTTACCAAAACTGAACTTCATAGTTAAAAGAAACAAGAAATTAAAGTGTCAGCTGTGCTGTATAGTCAATATGCCGGGATGAATGCATCCATCATTCAGGTTTTGTCATCAACCAAAGGTATAACCAGAATATAATTGTCTTTAAACTTCGAAAAGTAAAACAAAAACATTCAACTTCAATCAACTAGATCATACAGAAAATCAAACCCAATAGAACAGGAACCAATAAGGAATGGCATTCAATACAGCTCCAGCAGTTCCAGCTTCTCAAAAAAAGAAGATTAAGAAGCCTAAGTGTTTGGTGCGGATCAATACATCCAGAACAAGACTGAAGACCTGCGGTAGAAGAACACAAGTGACGTCAGATAGCATAGCACTATGTTCAGCAAACGTTGATAATCAGAACCTCTTCACAGAGAAATTCAGAACAATGCGTAAGCATGTGAAACTAAAAGGCTGCTGAATATTTTTTAATTGTTTTAGTATACTTCAGATTAAAAGGTCTAGCTTACAATATTGAGGTTTATGGCAGTATTATGTCACACTCTTGTCTCATTACGGTAGGGGATGGTCCAATATGTATTCTCAAAGTCGTTTACAACTTCAATTTCCAGGTCCACTATCAGAGAGAATATGGTTGGATATACCCTAAATTGTTGAATGCGATAAGACATTCTGGCAGAATATGTGATTTGAGATTGAATATGTTATTTTCATTTACACCTTCTGTCAGCACACAGACTTCAATGTTCAGACTCCTCAAAAACCAAATGCATCCCCACACACGCGTGAGAGAGAGAGAGAGAGAGAGAGTCAGAAATAGTTGAAACCATTAAAAAAATTTATCATTCAATCTTTCGTCCGTTTTCCCAACATACAGAAGTCAAGTTCTGGAAGAAATCCTTAAAATGATAAGTGTGCTAAATCGCATAGTTTTTAGTTTGTGGACATGATTGGAACAATATGAGTCATGACATGACGTAAAACATAATTACATTTCCAAACGCTATTTTACAATAGCCATCCAAGGTTTCAAAAGAAGTCACAATGTTTGCTTAAACTACTGATTAAATAGTTGAAAGTGTGCACACGTTTGAACTAGTACATAGAAGAGAAGAAACTTAGGTCCAAGTTATGCATGCCACAGTTGTTTAAGATAGACCCACTGTACCTGGAAACAGGGAGGATCCAGTATATTGAGCAGTTGTCTTGTGTCCTGAATTGAATGACCACCATGAAGATCTCTTATCCATTGAACTAATCCACTCTCTTTACCAGCCCATAGATTGGGTTGAACAAGAGACAAAATGTAGATCGAGCCATCCTCTGAAATGGAAAGAGTATCAATGTGAATTTTCATATCTTTTTAAGGGTACTCAAGAAAATGGTAGAAGAGGTTGGCAAAAAATACTTACATTCAATTGCATCAGGTTTGATCACTCAGAATTATAAGATAGAACTTGTTTCAGGCAAGTGATTACCAAATTGTTGCCCATATTTTTGAGGTCATATATGAATAGCAACAGAAGCATTTGAGATTATCTAACAGAAGTTATGAAAAATTTTCAAATGATAAGAAGCACTAGACAAATTTTAGTATTCCTTGCCAAAGGCTTAAAAAGGTAATCATTTTACATAACAATTTTCAGCATGCATATCTTCTAAAGTACAAAATAATCAAGTGTACTTAAAAAAAAAAAAAAAAAGGAAAAAAGGAAAGCAATTTTGGAGAAAATAATGAACTGCACATATATATCTCTGTAAAAACACTATTCTGCACAACCTAATTTCATATATCCATAACATCCTAATTGAAGATGGCAAGCCGATAGCAACTAAAGTGACACATACGTATCATGCAAGTCCATCTCACAGGCAAAATTCACTGAAGAAAGAATAAGGTCCTTTGATTTCACTAGTTCATAGACTTGTTGATCAAGAGAAAGCGGCAGACGCATTCCTCCCATGATGCATTTATATGCCAAAGCAATGCAGCACCAAACATCCATAGAGAACAGAAGTCTGTTTAATCTGAACATCTAAAATAGCACCATTCAAGTCATGAAAATAAGCACCGCTATATTACGACACAGATGAAGATGTCTGCCAACGATCATATCATGAAAATTAGAGGAAGCATGACAATAATACCGTAGTGCGGGAAGAGGTGAATACAACACTTACAGTAATGTAAATTCAGAGATAGTCATAGTGATGATTATGATCATGACAAAAAGGAACAATAGATGAAACAAAGGTGGCAAACCAAGCACAACCATCCGAAATAGGTTGTATGGAACAGAGATGATCCTGCAACTAAAACTGGGACCACTACAGGAGCCACATGAAGCCATTGCAACAAAGAAACAAAGAAAAGTTTAAAAAGAGGCTGGGGTTAACAAGATTCACAAAAACCAGAAAGAGGATTGGTGGACTTTATCTTAACTGTCACAATTGGTTTCACCAAAAGTGATACATATCTGCAGATTTATACAATGCAGCAAAACGAAGTTTAAATAAGTCAACCTAGTTCATTTCAGAAGAACAGTTTGACTTCAACTGATTTCTGTACATCTCCAGCAATGGAGAAAATTTACAGAGAAGCACTCTTGTCCTCTAAAAGATGGAAAATGCTTTTAACTGGATCATATTTGGAGGAACTAGTCATTCCTCTGGATCAATGCTAGTATCACCAGAGGGTTTTCTTGCCTCTGACAATGGCAATAGCCTGCTCTTAGTGGAGCTTGCTTCAACAAGACCTTCTGATGCCAATGTTAAGGGACCAGTTCCAGATGATGAACCCAATAACCGCCGCACAGTAGGAGGCTCAGTTGAAGATGATGAAACATTATATGTAAAGACACCCATCGGATGGTCAAACTTGCAACTCGGGCCAAATTTGCAGATTCCATATCGAGAGTAGAAAATGCACAAAGGTTCTCCCTGCATGTAACAGAGAAGAATAGACAGATAAATCTTGTAGTTCATTCATAAAATAGATGTTAGGAGAAGAACAATAAGAAAGATACCAAAAACGGGACTTATTACCCTTTTCTCGGCATTCTTTGACTATTTGCCCTTTGCTTCAGCTTTAGTATTTTCAATTTATTGTTTTATGTATCTCTTCTAGATCCAAATTTCTAAAGAGCACACATGACATAAACATCTTTAGTAATCTTAGAATGCAGGCCAACTCTATTAAGAGATCTATAGACGCCAAAGATATATAATATATCAAATTCCGCCCAGGAAGAATAAAATGAACTTTCTTTAAGACAATATAACAGGAAATACTCAGATTTATTTATATGCCTTAATTGGAAAAATTCCGTCTCAATTGCCATATTTATGAAGCGTGACCTCAGTAACCATCTCATAAAGATGGAAAAGACACTTTAACACCAACTAAAATACCTTATTAGGCTGTGCAGAATCCCTTGAAAAATACATGAACAAAGGAAAAAGCAAGATGGAAGTTCACACAAGGATGGAGACTCATAATATTATAAGGACAGAAGGAACTGCATAAAGTTCCTCCACGTGTTTCACGTTCAACATGCATGTGTACCTATGCTTGTCCCAGAAAGGAAAAGAACAAGAGTAAGTTTGATGTGAGTAAATGCAGCCAATAATAACTTATTTTCAAAAGAATTGAAGCAAAAATTGGTGAATTAGTAAGGAAGCTTTCTTTCTTTTTTTTTTTTTTTGGTTCCCATCAGCTCTCCCAGGTTATAATATAAATAACTAGAGACCTGGTGCTGGGAACAAGGAAAAGGAAGACCGAAAGTTATATTACAATTACCAAGTTGAGTATGTAGAGTCAGTGAACCCAATCATATCTCAAGCAAGACAGTATTGAGATTTCCTCAAACTTAGTTCAGCTACAACTCATGGAGAATAACGATATCTATTGTAGTATCTCTTCTTTTCCTTTTCCATAATTCCCTTCTATAAGTAGTTGTTTGAATGTGATAAGTGGAGTTTCTGGCAAACGACTTGATAGTCCATCACCCCTTATCAACACCCTGCCGTAAAATGTGATCTAGAATATTAAGGTGTTCACATTAACGTACTATGTGGCCAATAGACTGTTACATAAATCGAAGTCCCATACAAACCTAAAAAACAAGGGCATCAAAAAGGAAAAGCTAAGCCAATCCACCAGTTGGAAACAGTTGAGAAGCTGATTCAACTGTTCTTACACACAGATTATGATAATCAAGATCTGAAATACATAAATGTTAACTCACAGGACGCAATGGAAGTCCAATTGGACTCAAGCCACAGTCTGGAGCTGGAAGAATCCTCTCTCTTGGGTGATGGAACTTGCACACAGCACCAAATTTACAGTCTCCAGTCTTCATGTAAAATTGGCACTCAGGCTGTCCAGGCCTCTCAGGAAACACCGTCTCCCTCTGTAACTGTAATGCATAATACCCAATAGGTAAAGAAGAAGAGCTATAAGAAGAATGTATCCCTTGTGATCCCACATTTGCTGCTTCAGATTGGCCTACCATTCCATGAGTTTGGTCATTTCCTGCTGTTTGCTGCTGGCTCTCTGCCGAGGAACCTGAACCCAGCTGACCCTGAAAAATAAACCATCTTCAAAGGTTTGGATAGCTAAGTTCAGATTACACATTTTAAATGTTGCCATAAGTAAGTTATACTAAATCTAAGTATGCCGACAGAAAGCAGCTAAAATAGTAATCTTTAGTATGCATCAAAAGACAAGACTAAAAACTTGACAAGAAGTTTTGCTGCAGCTAAACAGGTGCATTTTTAACAGACACCTTTCCTAATTAAAGTCATTATGGAGTTGCAGGAATCCAGCATTCTAGCAATGCAACTATTAGAGATGGTAATGATCACATTCCATGAACCTTAACCAACCACAGATGATAAAAGCCCATGCACTCTAACCAGACTCCTCTTAACACATGAATGAAATTAATCCAGATGCCTATAATATGAGCAACCAATTGATTAATAGTTCTGAGGCCACTTGCTAGCCTAGATTTGAACTGATAGCACCAGGAAACATGTTTATTTCATATGCAACCCACGTCCAGCATCTAATTTATAGCTTCTTAAAAAATTGATTGCTAGGAAAAAAGATTAGCTTAATGCAGAAACTCTGCTGAATCTTTTGGTCCAGTATACACAAATAAAGACCTCGGAAACTGTGCATAGAAAGAACAGCAGATTGAATGGATCCCAACCCAAGGTGAATTCCTTCATTAGTTCGTTCTCTACTTGCAGTTTTATAGCAAACATGTTGCATTCTACATAGTATTCCTCATTTTTTATGTTTTGTATTTTGATCCTTTTGAAGTAAAGTCATTGCTCCAGATCTTTTCATTCTAACACAAATCATACAAGTTATTTCCTGAAGGCAGAGACCTGTGCACAGGATGATAAGGTACCCTATAGCATTCAGTAAAAGATTTTGACCGTCATAGAATTTTAAGAGCTGAAAACAGGGACAAAGTTCGAACATGCAAAAGCAATCAGTCAGAGCAATGGGAAGAAAAAGAAATTCTCCAAACAGCAAATTTGATTAAAACAAGAAAAAATCTACATTGTTTTTAAGAAAACGTCACAGGAGAGCTTACACTGTATGCATTCCATCCAGAGACTGAAACCATGCTCTGAGGAACAAGAACCGGAGCATAACTTGAAGGACCCTGCCAGCGTGGATTGGGAATAAAAGAAGCTCTTGACAAGGGATATGACAGTTGTCCAGGATTTGTCGGCGAATGAACAGAAGGATAAACAGGAGAACCACGAACAGAGACCATCATATTAGCTGGCTGAGGATGGTGAAACTTACAGGTGCTTCCAAACTTGCAATGTCCAGTTCTCAAATAATAAGCGCATTCAATCTCATTCTGGAAATTACAGTACAAGGCCAAAAGAAACTAAAATTATAATATAAAAACTATATCAAACCTCTGAACATAAATTTAATTGCATAAACAGCTTTATTTTCAACAAATCATAAACCAGAGAGTTGATTCACAAATAAAGTGAAGCTGTGTGTCCTAGTTTTAAATTTGACAACAAGTGCATGTCAAAAACTTAGCCTGACAGGATAAGGTTGTCAAAAATACTACTCCTGTCATGTCATGACCATGAAGAGCTTCTCATGTTTTAACTAGGCCAAATAACTCCCCCCTCCCTACCAAAACAAACAAGAAAAGGGGAACAGAAATATAAAGAAATGGCATGATTGTGGAGTTATGGAATCACAACTGACAGTGTAATTTACAGTGTTCCTAAGTGGCAGCTGTTACGTGGCGAACCTAGATAATGCTGTGAGATTTACTTCTGGTTAAACATTAGAGCAAGAGATTAGGACATAATATACGTGAATTGGAAGAAATTCTAGTTAAAACACATACACGCACATGTAAGTGCGTGTGTGTATAGGTACATGCAAATGTTTGTGATTTTATTTGTGTGTATTTCAACTCAACTAACTAATTTTATGTGGTAAACTAGAACATTAGAATGCAGACCGGGCGAAGTGGGTAGCCCAAGGCGTTTAAGGTAACTCTTCCAGCAATCCCAGCTTTTTCTCTAGGATGATGAAACTTGCACGTGGCGCCAAACTTGCAAGTTCCTGTCTTCAAGTAATACTGGAGAATAAGACAAAATCTGGCTCAGCATCAAACTAAGAAACATAACATCCGAAAAACTAGCTAGACATGAAATAATACGCAAATACCAAGACATGACAATATGAACATGGAATGTTTGATAAATCTAGTTAATATTTAAAGATAATCCAGATGAATATATTTAAGAAAAGAATGATGCAAGTCTTCAACTTTCAGGTAAGTTTGGGTGTCTGTAGAGCTAAATTTATATGCAACAAGTATCTAATATAGAACAATTTTCAACCTAGTGCAACGTACTATTTTGACCAATTGAAAGAGCATTACTAGCAGTATCTGTCACTAAGAAACGTAACTCCATGCAAGCTTCATATTTTGCTGGTAATGTGATTTTGAGTTGTTTCAAGTCATTTTAATTCCAATACAACCAGAACAATAAACACATATGAGTGCATAATATCTCCACAAACATAATCTGAACAATAAAACAAATTTAAATAGCAAAAAGGCACCTGACAACCAACCAAGAAATTATAGAAGTGCTACATGTCTAATGAGGATGGAGCAGTTTCAAGCACATAAACAGCATAGAAACACAAAACTTCTGGTTGCAAGGTATAAGCTGAAAAGAAATATGAGCTTGACCAACTAATACTACAATTCAGAAAAGAAAGAAATAAAGTTGACGATGTTCACCCACTAAATTTTGGCACTCTATTTGAAATCCAGATCATAAAAAACTTTTAAAATATCAAACCTAAGTGGAAAAAGTTGCAGTGAATAAATGGTCTTGTTTAGAATAATAGCAAAACGTATCAGAACTTTGGCTAATGAAACTTTCTTCAAGCCCACAATGTGGAAACTGGAAAGTTCTTCACCCAAATCTAAAATTTCTAAGAGGTGCAGAAGGCAAGTCCCCAAGAACATTATCAGGGAGTTGATGATGCATCAAATTTTACAATGATATAAGACCAGGCCTCAGTATCTATCACAGCTTGATAATTCAGAAGGATAATGAAGACGTTCATTTATCAATAGGTCATTCTAAGGCTAAGAACAGCTGTTGATGAATCATGTCATTTGTGATAAAGGAATTACAGGACTAACAACTGTTGATTAATCATGTCAATTGTGATCAAGGAATTACAGGACAAATCTGTACACGAACTATGAAAATGTTCCATCAATTTCAAAACAGTACCTCTCCAAACAAAGTACTCAAAAAGGAAAAAACAAAAACCAGCAGTATGAATCTTAGCTTCTAAGGTTTACATGTTCCACCAACTTAAACAAAATTACCATGCAATTATTTTTACAAAGTTAACTTGAGCTATGTCCTGCAAGTTCACACTAAGAGTATGAAAAAGAAAAGCTCCTTTGATCACATAATAAACACTGCATCCAGCAATGGACTGCTTATCTCCGTCAGAAATATCTGCCAAGGGAGCCCCTTCAGGACAATGCATATCATGCACTATAAATATACAAGAAAGTACAACCAATCCCACCTTCCATGAAAGTAACCATATGAAAACAAGAAGGAATCGACAAAAAAAAATTAAAGAACAAGGACCTCCAAGCATGCAGAAAATAAAGCACAAAAGATACATAGAGGAAAGTGAACAAAAGAAAAAGGAAGAGAACAGCTCAATATCAAAATATAAGTACACTAGAAAATTAATTCCCAACAATTCTGGACATTATGACATATGGCATATTTTCCTGATTGTAGGAATTGAACTTTGCAGTCCAATGAAGAAAGTTCAAAAGTGAGGAAACATGGAGTATCAGAAGCATAGTAACATACCTGACATTCTGGTTGTCCCATTCTTTCTGGATATTCTCCTCTCATCCTTGCTGTGGCAATAGCCTGTGGTTAATATAGTCAAAATGTGATTTCCAGTGATAGTAAGTGATACATAGATTTACGTGGACACACACACAGGTGAAGGTGAAGAAGCTATTGTTTTAAAATCAACTCCACGTCTCCACCTATTTCATGTACAAATGGCCAACGTTATGACAATCCTCTAAAGGTTCAGAGTTCATTTCTTCATATTATTAATTAACTTAAATCACATCCTAGTTGCATTCTAATATTCATGCATCCTGTGGCAAGCATTCCTGTGATTATGACTAAGTGCTCTAAGCTCAATAAGGCACAAACAATCTAAAGAACTGAAACAACCAAAACTAACACGAGGTTTTTTTACCAATTTTCTATTAGGAGGATGATTAAATCGGCATGTTGCACCATATCTGCATAGACCTGTTCTGATGTAGTAAGAACAATCTGGTTCACCTTCACGTACAGGATAAGTCCCAGCTTCCATTGGTTCCCTTGACCTCAAGTTAATTTGCCATAGAGCATCTAAGATGCCAAAATCAGCAGTCAGTTGAAAGTTTAAGCATAATTCACCAACCAACTGCAAACTAATTCTAACTCCTAAACGCATCCCCTCTTCAACAAATTTCGATTGTGGCGTCCTTTTGATTAAGTGTTTTTGAACTTGAAAAAAGAGCTCCCCAACAGAGACGAGTGCGAGAAAGCAAATTACAGCAAGATCCAATCTTTTAATATATATATTGTCCCCAGTCATCTATTTCTGCTCATACAACACCTCAATCACGTGGGTTGAAAAAACCCACTTCTAAACTTGCTAATTGCTATGCTCAAGAGGTCGACATTTTCAGTTTCCATATTTCTCAATGATGTGCTACAAAAGGCAGACTCTTCATCAACTGCTATCAGTTTATCCAATTCTGTTGATATTCGCCCCAAAAAAAAGGTAAAAGATAACTAGTTATTTTATCAAAACGACCAGCCAAAGAGAAACTCAAAACATTTAACCTAAAATAAACACAGCTATGCAATAAAATTATAATGTCAGTTTCAATACTAAGATAACAAGTTAAAAAACAGCTGACCCATCTCAATTTCCTGCTTTTATTTGTTGAAGCCAGCACAACTTTTTAAATACATGGACGAAAGAAAATTTAAAAAGGAAAAAAAGAGAGAACTTTAAGAATTTCTGATGATGATAGAAATACTGTATCACGTGCATGCAAACTTTGATCCCTTCTGCACCCGGCGAAGATATTCAAAACAAAATTCCACCAAGCAGAAATAATTAATAATTTCCTTTAGCTGCACGTGGGCCACATTGAAAAAAAAAAAATCTTTAGTCATGGTACTAGATTTTATTTAACAAATTATAAGATATATTCTTAAATTGAAATCATGCAGAGACAATAAACCTAAAAGAAAGAAAGAAGCAAATCCCAGAAAAATAGCAAATTCACGCATGATCGAGCCACGCAAAAAATGGAGGTCGTAAAGCTCAGAAATTTTCCCAAGATTTTCCTTCGAAATTGGGAAAGGAAGCAAGGAAAGGGCAGAAAGGGGGTGGACGGTACCTTGGTCGAGGGAGGAAGAACCTTCGGCGACGACAGATGCTCGGGAAATGGGAATTCCGGAATCGAAATCCATGCTGATTCTGCTTCTGCTGCTGATTTTAATTTTATTAATAATAATAATAATAATAATACTAATAATTTTAGAAGAATCGCTGTGACGATGATTTCCATCACCAACGGCTAACGCTGGCATCAACAATTCCTCCTAAAAGAAGAATTGCTGCTGCCGGAATTTCCATTTTGATTCGGGTCCCAGTCCTACCAACCCCCCACCCCCGCCTTCCCGCTCTCTCCCCCCCACCTCAATTTGACTAGACTAGCTTATTTATTTATGATATTTAGAAAATGGGATAGAAAAAGAATAAGAAAATGGAAATGCAGAGAGGAGGGGGAGAGAGAGAGAGAGAGAAAACGGGGGGAAGGGAAGGTGGAGAATGGGAGAATGAGAGAATGAGAGAATAGAAAGAAAAAGAAAGACAGAATAGGCCCTTCTGATATTTCCCCTCCACAAAAACAAAAAGAGAAAAAAAAAAGTGTGAGAGAGAGACAGAGAAAGAGAAAGAGGTGTGAGTTGGGAGCAATTGCAGTGTGTGAGTGTGTGAGAGAGAAAGGAAAGAGGAAGAGGGGAAAAGGGGAGGGGACGAATCAGAACCAACCAAACCATCAAATTCCCCTGTTGATACAGCAGCAGCGCTGTTGGCTTTTTGCCTTTCTTCTTCTTGTATTTTACTATTTTTATTATTTATTTTTTCCGTTTCATATTTTGTTTTCGCGAGTGCCGACTCGCGACACGAGTCAGGTGGCCCCGCGTTTCTTACATCATGCTGGAACCGACGACGCTTCCGCTTGTGTCGTCACCCACTCGCGCGCGTACTCCATTTTCCCGCTACTCCAACCACCCGCTAGTTTTATTTTCCTCTTGGAAGAACATTAATGGCTCTCTTTGGATTGAAGTATGTACTTTTCATTCATAGAGATAATGCGGTAATAACACACTTTAGTATAATTGTATTTTGTGCAATTTTATTCCTTTTTTATAAAATTTTAAATTTTTTATATAAAATTACATCATAATATTATACTGAATATATCTCAAATATTTTATTAATATGTATCGCTTTTATTTTAAATACAATAATATAATATAATTATTATATATCAAGTAATACATCTCAATCGCGCTAGTCCCTCTCCTACCAAAAACGCATAATCCATGGAGTTTCAAATACAACTTACAAAAACACAAACAAAAGAAATTTCTACTACCATTTTTTTCCACCCATCACCTACCACTCTCCTTCTCTTTCCTCCACTGTCACCGCCATCATCGCCTCTCACCTCCTTTCTTCACCCCCTTTTCCGTCTTCCTTCTTTCCCATCTCTTCCCCCCGCCCTCCTAGGCCCCTCCTCTGGCTTGGACCTATGCGAAAGGTCTCGATCAGGAGGGAGATGGGTCTGATGGGCAGGAAGCAGGAGGGGAAGGGAGGGAGAGAAGGGTTGGTGGCATAAGTGGTGGTGGGTTGGGCAAAAATTTTTTTAAAAATATTTCAATAGAATATTAAATTTTAAAAATACTCCAAAAATACAACTACAATGTACAATACTACAATGTATAGTGTTTCAAAAATACCCCTCCCCAAAAAAAATAGTTAATCTATAGAGTTTGTCCAGTTGAATTTCCTACCTTTCTTCAACAGATATAATCAAAGCCAACTAGTTTTTCTTTACTCCATCTTTTTTCTTTTTCATTCCTTTCTTCTGAATTCTTACAACATTATATAGATTAAAAAAATTGACCATGAAGCAAAAAACGCTGAATGTATATTAAGTAACTTAGATTAAAAGGATTCAAAGATTATACAATGAAGTCTCCAAATTGAGCAATATCATCCCTCATAATTAGGGATGGCAACGGGGCGGGGGACCCCTCCCCCGTCCCTCGCCCCGCTGCCTACAAACTCCCCTCGCCCCCGACCCGTCCTCTGCTCCGCCTGCCCCGCCCCACCAAGCTTTCCCCGCGGGGTTAATAAAAATTTGTTATATAATTTTATTATGGTTAAAATTTAGCAAATAATCAAGTACTAAAATATCAACACATCATCAAATTATTATTCATTGTAATTTTACAATTGAAACTTATAAAAACAATCAAATAAAAATTATTTGAATACAATTCAACATGATGAAATAAATATAACTAAAGTAGTCAAGTTTTCACTTTTGGCACAAATACAATCACTAATTCATTATTGTGCTTGTTTTAAGAAAAAAATGTTATTGTATTAAGTGTAATTAAGGATTTAGTATAAATGTATTAGTAAATTTAGTATAACCAATAATAATTTGTATTAGTACACATATATAATTATTAGTATAATTAATAATATCAATTATATTATATATACTAATAGACATTATATAATACATATAACTAATAATATCATTATCATAAGTTTGTAATTAATTAAATTATATAGTATATATATAATTATATACATATATATTTTATATATTTATTTTTTTAAAGCGGGTGGCGGGACGGGGGACTCCCCCGCCCCATTTCTAAGCAACCCCGCGGGGGTGGGTGATTGCGGTCCCCAAGCCCCATTGCCATCCCTACTCATAATAGATCCTCCACCAACAAGCGAATGCTCTACTTTCAATGCATGGGTTAGTCCCAAATGCATACAAAGGTTATTTAATTAGATACAATTAGGACAAACGACTAAAGGTGTGTTTGTTTGTTCAAAAAAAAATGTTAATAATTTACATGGATTGCATTTAAAAAAACTAGTTTTTTCAAATAATACAACTTAAAATGCACTACAAATATACCTAATAAACACTAGAGCTACAAGCACAAACAATGTAGGAAGAGAGGAGAGCAACGGGAAGGAAGGAGTAGGAAAAGTAGGAGTGGAGAAATAAGGAGGGAGGAAGCAAGGAGAAGGATGAGAGAGAAGAGAGATAGGGAGAGAAAGAGAGAGAAGGGAGAGAAAGAAAGGAAAAATAATGGAGGCGTTGGCGATGGCGCTCGTGAACTTGTCGCCAGCAGCGGAAGTAGAGATGGTAGGAGTAGCGGTGATAGCAACGAAGAAAAAGAAGAGGAAAAAAGAAGAAAAGAAAACAAAAGAAATAAAACATTTCAAGTTCTCCACAAAAACTCTACTCCATACAATTTTCCTACAAGTGTTACAGTATGTTAACACGAAACGCCTAAAAAACTCACCATCCAAACCAGCCACCACTCTCAACCTTTTCTGCAAAAATTGCACTTATAGCTCTCCAATTCCTCTTTTACCCCTCACGCGGACCATTATTGTAATTTGCGAGTGGCCGCCGGCCTCTCCAATTTTCAACTCCTTCCGAAACTTTTACTAAACTATTCTTTTGTTTGTTACCCGTACTTTTTAATCCTTTTAAGAAGCAAAAACTAGCACAAGATTTATGAATTAAAAAGAAAAAGCTGGTTAATAAATAAACATGAGCTCTCATATTCAAGCCAGGCTTAGGGGAGATCTTGCTGGATGCCAGAGTTCCCAGGGTCTCCTCTCCTCCTTCTCCTTCTTAGTGCTGGTTTAGATCTTATGAAGATTCCTCGTGGATCCCATTTCCCTTCTTGATTGTTATTAATATTTAACTCCTTTTATCGCTTCGACAAAAGGGGCCCCAAAAGAGCAAGCAGACCGTCCTTTTTCCTCCTCATTAGTCACAGCAGGACTTGGAATCCCAGATTCTCAGCTTCTGAATCCTACCCTCTTCAAGAAAGATGAAAAAAGTCATGGGTTTGTTATCAAACACCCGAAAAAGAATTCAATTTGTTTGTCTTCCATTGCTCTTCATTGTGCTCTTTGTTTTATTCGCTCCAATTTCTGCTCAGGTAAGTGTAAATACATACTTTTACAGGTCGGCAGAGTAGATTGCTTGCTTAATTACTGTATTGTTTTGTGTAATGATGTTATTACTTGTCTGGATTTAGGAATCTGAAAGAGAGGAGGCAACACGGGCTATTCGAGATCTAGGCCGGAAAAGTAAAGTGAGTATATGTACTGGTCTTATATCTATGCTTCTGGGTTTCAATGATTCGTGGAGAATTGCCTTCTTGAATAGTTCTTGTGCTTTAGTTGATTTAGTTATACAGATGGACAGGAAAAAAAAGGTAAATGGAAATTGAAATTCACAAAGAGAATGAACTAAATTGAAGGGAGAAAGGAAAAATTTTCTTGTAGGGGTTCATAAAACTGAAGCTTTGACCCTCCTTTTCCTATATTTTTGTGTGTCAGCAGCTAAACTGTGCCATTGTTAACACCATGAGATCACAAGTAGGATTAGAGATGTGCACGTTTTGAAAGGAAGAGAGGAACTTTGTTATTAGCTCTGCTGCCTGGTGTTTGCAACAAACTTAACCATTTCAGATCGTACAATGATTTATCTGCCCACTACTCATGGAGGAAAAAAAGAAGATTGGGAATTTTCTTGCTTCTCTGTGCCATCCTTTACTCCTATTGTATTTCCATGTCATTGATTCAGCAAACTGCAGCTTTAGGTATATCTGGGCTGTTAGTGTTGTAAAACTGAGAGTTATCAGAGGTGTTTGTACAGGTTTCTATGTGACTATTTACCATGGATTCATTGCCTAGAATGGGAGCAAGGTGATTAAGTTTGAAATTGGTTTTTTTGTTTGTTTGTTTGTTTATTTACTTGTTTTACGTGTTAGGAGATATAATGTGTCAGGAGAGAGCGTTAATGCATTATCGATATTAAATGGTGGGATTGTGATTACAGGTTTCTAAGGAGTTCAATCAGCAAATCATATTTATCTTCAGTGTTCTTTTTGTTTCACTTAAAAAACAGACCTTGATGGTTTTTTAAAACTTTGTTGACAGATTTTTGTGGACAAACTCAAGACTGGTATTACAAGGGATGGGTACAATTCTGGTTCTGTTGGTCTTGGTGTTGAATTGGAATCCGGTCTTGGGATTTTTGATGCATTTTTTGCAAGTTTTTCCATGATTCTTGTCAGTGAGGTTAGTGATTTCACTTAACAAACTTCATTCTTTCTTGTTTTCCCTTAACGGCAATTCTCTTTGCCCTTACAATTTTTTATTAACTTCTCACTAGATTGGAGATGAGACTTTCATAATAGCAGCTCTAATGGCGATGCGTCATCCCAAGTCCATTGTTTTATCTGGTGCACTAAGTGCCTTGTTTGTGATGACAGTAAGTTTGCTTATTTACCCTTTCAGTCATTACCTCTGCCGTGTGTTCATTTCATCCTACATTCTAGGTTCTCATTATGTTGCATTTAGTGCTGCAAAAAGTCACCTTGATGGCGTCTTGGTTAAGTGCAATGTTCAGTAGTTTATTTACTTTTGAGTGAATAATGAGATTGGATGTTTTATGCCCATGGTTAGGTACTTTCGACTGGACTTGGTAGGATTGTGCCAAACTTGATATCAAGGAAGCATACAAACAGTGCAGCCACAGGTTTGTAGTTTTCTGCTTTTGATTGTGTTGCTATGTCAACTGGAATTTTATATTTTCCCTTTCTGGGTGTATAATTCATTTTGCATGACAAATTTTCATTCGACTTCTTTGACATATGCATTC